TTATATATATGTGGAGAGTACATATGTTAAAGTTAAGCTTAAAATGAGTTGAATTGAGTAATTACTAAAATTATAGATAAAGCATGTTAATATGATTTTAGTATGAAATTTCTCATTATAATAATTAATGTGAATTTTGAAGAGCATGTGTTAGATATTTTCACTTCCAAGTTTATAAGCTATTATTTAGAAAGCATGATTTATATAAAGTTTTGGCATCAAATGATGATTTATCAAGAGTTTGAGTTATTAGAAGTATTATGATTATTTGAGCTATAGCATATTTGCTAGATTCGGATAAGTTAAAAGTTATCAGTTAAAGTTATGAATCTAAATATCTTATTGAGTATTCGAGCATAGTACTTAGTATATTTGTTTATATTTTTATGTAGCGTGAGAAGTTCGGCTAACAAGAGCAACACTTTCATTTTTCAATACTTTTCGAGAAGAAAGGCGGGGACCCAGACTGGGTATTACATTGAGTATAATATTGATATCACGTTCGAGGTATGTATACAGTTGAAGTTTATACGCTTGGGATGAGAAGGCATTCAATTGTCTCAGAGTATATCCTAAGTTCTGATGGAGGCCGTTTGAGTTGCCTTGAGAAATATCCATCAGATTGTGCACAAGTATCCGATTAATATCGGCCAGATTCAGTTTAAGTTACTGGAACAGATTTCCAGTCAAGATATATACCAAAGATTATGATATTGTATTATTATTGCTGTTTACTTTAGTATGGGTGATTTCGGGGTACAAGAGGATCAGTACTCACCCCCGTTGTGTTTTTCAGGTAACAGGGTCGGGCTGGAGGTGTGAGCTCAAAAAGTGGTGGTGGTGGTCGTGCACTTCTTTAAGTGGACATTTATTATGAACTTGATATGTCTGTATGATTATTCACGTTTTTAAGTATTGCCGCTACGCATATTGAAGTTTGAACTTGCATTCTAATAAATTTCAGATTTCAAGTTTTTTTATCATTTCAGAAGTATGAATATGATATAGTTAAATGCAAGTTTAATTAAATCTGTTTTCTTTATTTCTAAAGAAGTATTAGACAAAGTTTAAAGATAAACGGATTTACAGAAAAGATGAGTTTGAGTAGCATCCCGAGTTAGTCGCAAAAGATTTCGAAAGAGTTATAAGTATTTTCGAGTTAAAAAGATTGCGAAAAATTTACTTTGATGAGCGGGGTGTTACACGTGACCCGCCTTAAAATAAATAGAATTATAGAAGAGGCCAGGCCGTCTATACAAAGAATGTCCGTAGGATGTCCTTTATAAAGGTGAAAAGCCAACCACTTTTTAGTAGTAGGAGCAAGCTTAAACCTTTCTCGCGTAAGATAGGTGCTTAACGCCCTATACAAGGTGCTTACTGCTCGCCCGCTGTCTACTAAATGAGCCTTCCATACCAATTTAGCCTTCGTCCCCGATCCATCTCAACCTCCCTCGCAAAGGAAGGTTCGATGTAATTGACGACATCCATGTGCCTAATATACGTGATTCTTTTTATCATTGCCTAAGCTTGCATTAATAGACTTTGCCGATTGAACGCTGAAGCAAGAGCGCGGGCTGCCTTTCTAAGCGTCTTACTTACGTGATTCTTGCTTGCTTGCTTTCCCGGTACTATTCCCTGAATTAATTGTTGCTTCTTCTTTTCGTAAGGCCACTAAAAAAGCCAACGTAGATCTTTCGGCCTAACTGCTCTTTGAGTGATCGAGTTCAGAAGAGTGCTTTTTCTCCACCCCGACCGCTCCTTCCTGGGGAATTTTCCGCTTGAAAGCATCTCACTAATGATCACATGGGGTACTTCTATTTATACCATTAGAAAGTTTGAAAAGTATGATATGTGGAACCAACATGCTTGCCTCGTCAATATACATCGACCCTGCCCCTTGCTTCCGATAGATGGCTTTCTAACCGGCCGACCATAGACTATCCTTGAGAAAGTGATTGTCCCTTAGTCGATGGGTTCCATGCTATCTTTTATCAAACTCATTGGGAGCTTCTAAATCCATATTTTCTTCCAGTTCGTCTTAATATACTCAATCATGGCGGTTCCCTCGATCCCGCGAGGGTGAGCTAACCCCAAAAACCCGTCCTCAGTTCGGATTGCAGGCTGCAACTCGCCTGCATGAAGCCGGAATTTCTAGTAATCTCCAGTCAGCTATACGGCGGTGAGTTGTCCTTGATCTGTTAGTTTTGGTTTGAGGTCGTTTCGAGTTGTATTTTGAGAGTTATGAATTTTCTAAACCGAGCATACAGCTGAACCGTAATTAATTCACCAAAAATGGAATTGTTATCCGTTTGAGCTGTGAATTTTTGATATGTTGTGCCTCTGAGTATGTGGAATATGTGTGCCAAGCCCCTGATTTTATCTTTGAGATTTTGGTATTCAAATGCTTAAAACGGGTTCTGGTCAGAAACTTGTAAAATTCACTAAACGTTTTACACTTGGAGTTTTGAGATGAAACTTTCAGGAACCTGTTATTTTGTGATGTTTTAGGTTGTGTAAAAATTTCAGATTAAAATTCGAAGTGTAGCTTTGTGAACTATTAAATGCTGATTTTGGTGCTGTTTTTGCTTAAATCATTTAAAAATGTTCTCGGATGAATTTAGGGCTGAAACTTGGTGAGTTATTGTGCTTTTGCATGTTTTATAATGTGGTAAAGTTTCAAGTTGATTGGCTGAGCCTAACTCCTGATTCTGAATTTAGTTTATTTTCGAGTCTAAATGTTCGATTATCCATTGTTTAGGTTAGGATTGTATTTTATTGATGTTGGCATAATTTATGTGTATTATATGAAGTATTTGAGTTGTGTCCAGGTCTGGTAGTCACTCCATAGTACCTAACTCGGTCAAGGAATCCACGAGTCACTTAGTCGATATGATTTCGGCTAAGTATATGTGCCTTACGTGTTGTTTTGAATTGGGCAGTCAGTGATAGGTCCTTATAAATTGTTGTAGGTCCTTCGAGCTGAACTTGTGCCATAATTCCTTCAACTCTGTGTTGTAGTTATTTTTACCAGAGTAGAATCAAAAGATTGGAATGCCGGGTTGTGTCTCAAGAAAGGTTGGCCGAAATAATTTACACGATTATTCAATCACACAAAAAGATAAAACAATATCTAAACACTCTAATTCAATTGGTAGGTTTTGATTATCAATCACGAGATTTACTACGATTGATTCTCAAACACGACAATGTCGAACTCACAGCTTTAAACAAGATGCAAATAATTGTAAAAGGACTAGGGTGTCGGGGACAATCGTTTCCGGTTCTCAATACATTAACGGGCAATCAACTACTCGGCTAAATGGCTCGAAAAATCAATTCATCTAGAGATTCATTCTCAATAACTCACGTGACAAGAGAATGAACATAAACGACCAATAATCAAGTCAATCAACACATAGACAATACGTTGTCGAACAAGTCTATTCTAAACGAGCTTGAATCAATCGATTCTTCCCTTTTCGGTTCTAAAAATTGATTTAGTAGATTAAGATGGTGATCAATCATCCAACCCTAGGTATAGCACAACTCATTCAGATTGAGCAATCAAAGTACACACAAACGAAATCTAACCGGAACAATTATCCCCTAACCCTAGCTACGAATTTAGCCACTCATTGCAATTTCAACATAACAACTTATAATTAAGCAAGCAATCAAATCCATTCACAAAATGAAAAGAAATGCTTACGGTTAAATACGAATCCGAAGTCGAAACACCATGAATAGTCCAAATCCAAAAGCAAAATCTTGGTGATTTCACAATCCAAGATCAAATCCTATGAAAACTAGGTGAAAAATGAGTTATGGAGTGCAAAAGTACGAAATACAATGTCTGAGAATCGGGAAAAATAAGCCCTCTCCCGATATTACAATCATCTCCCATTCAAAACCCTTCAAAATCGCGCATGTTGAAAAACAGACCTTAGCGCCGCTAAGGTGCCTTAGCTGTTCGCCCTAGCCCTCGTAAAAAATAGGTAGCGCCGCTAGCCATTTAACCTTAGCGGCACTAAGGTGGCTTAGCGGCGCTAAGGTCCTGGAATGCCCAAAAGTTGCTTTTTTTGTGGCTCGCGTGCTCGGCTAGCGTTGCTCAGGTACTGCTCGAGCTGGAAAATCGACCTCCACATGTTTGGTCGCATTAACGGGCATGGTACACTTGGCAACCGGCATAACCTGAAATCACCAAAACCGGAAAAAAGGCGAAAACCAAGAGAAAATAGGAGGAAAGAAAACGAGAACACGAAACACAAATAAATAACACTAAAACACGAGAAATGACTAGATGAACCGGTAACACCTAAGAAATGACCTAAAACGGGGAAAAACATACGCAAAACATAAAAAAAAAAATAGCAAGTAAAATGGGACAAACAACTCCCCCACACAAAGTCCTTTGTTCGTCCCGAACAAAAAGAAAGGAAAAGAAAAGAAAAGGAAAATAAACAAATGAGCAAGGACAACGGTTCAAGCAAGAATAATCTCAAACCAATCAATCAAGTAAAGAAGAATTCAAATGATCGCAAGGGCACACTTCAACTATTAACTTGGCTATTTTGAATGACCTAAGCTCTCGAGTACAGAAATGTATCATATATGCCTCACTCAATTTCTTTCTCAAATATCAACTGGTACACTCAAATTGGTCGTCAGTTAAATCAATCATAAATTTGCCTATCATCTAACTCCTACTCTAAAACAATCAAATTCGTGAAACAATGAATCAAGAGGGCTTTAAGGGTTGTAACGTAGGCTCTTTGGATAGGGTAGGATAAATATAGGCTAACTGGCTAAATAGAAATCAACTCCACTCAATCAGATAACCATAATCATGAATTCCTCCGGCTGCTGACACCAACCGGTTCCCCTCAGTACTCCAAAATCAACCTACCTCCCAACTTATTCACCATTTCTAATTATTTTTTTTTATTTTATTTTACTGTGAGAACCTTTGGAAATTTTTACATAATCCATTCGGTTTCTCTAAATTCGAAATTAAAAAGAAAAATAAAAAAATAAATTGTGGAAATTATTTTTATTTTGTAGAATCTTCATCATTTGAAGCATCTTAATTTTTATATTAATGATGACTCATTTTTATGTTATTTTATGCAGTTGATTGAGCTGATAAATTTAATAATATTAGTCAACTAAATTAAAAATTAAGAGTGGGACATTATTTAGCATATTTGTTGAAGAAATTAGTATTTTAAATGATATTTAATTCAATTTTGGTGCTATTTGTCCCCTAAAATTTTTCTATAAATAGGAGCATTCATCAATGGTAGAATTACACCACAATAATTAAGATTTTTACTTTATAAGAAAAAGAAATAGTAAGAATCGAGTTTTTAAGAGAGAAACCGAGCAATTTCAAGAAATACTTGGAGCAAGTTTCTTTTCTTATAAATAGAAGAGGTATGTATTCAAACTTTGATATCATCAATTATAGCTAAGAGTCAGACCACACAATTAACTGACTCAAAAATAAAATAAACTATACAAAAATAAAAGAGAAAGAGAAAGAGAAAACGCACAAAGCACAGTGACAACTCACTGTGCGCCCGATGATGGTGGTGGTGGGGGATGACTGCTATCCGCATTCCGCTGGGTATCCCACTAGCTCAAACGGGTATCCCAAGTGCTCCCAGGTGTCCCATCGGTTGTCATGGGCTGTCCAGTGCTCCTCATTGCTCTGAACAAACTCGTTCCACCTCTTGGTCTGCTCCGTCCATCGTGCATCGTTGGACTCCACGAACGACGTCCAACACGCGTTGTGCGCGTCCCGAGCCTCATACTTGAAGAACCAAACCGGAGCAGCTGACTGGGACGACGCACCCGTGTGCGCGTTTATCAATGGAGGGGGTTGAATGGTCTCGTGGGTGGGATGTCTGTTGGCGTCAAGCTCGTCCTCATCCTCATCATTAGGGTTCTCGTCGGCTGGACCGTCTGACGTACCGGCTTCCGGTTGGGACTCGTCGTCTGGAAATGGTATACCCATTTTCTCGCAATAGGTCTTGTAGCTGGCCTGCTTGGTGACGGGCTTCGGAGTGTGTGGGTTGATCAGGTAATCGGCGTGCCAGAGGTCCTTCCGTGAAATCGTTTTGGCACGGATTGGAGGTTCGTCGGTCTCAACCCCAAAGTACTCTGCTAGCTTGGACACCACATGACTCATGTTTGGACCACGCCTCGTGTCGTTGCGTATGTCAAACAGGGTGTCCTTCATGTATTACAGCATGGTTACCGGCTTGTCGTGAGAAATCGACCACAAGATGAACACCTGTTGCTCGATCACCTTGTTCGACTCCTTCTTGCCGAAGATCATCTGAGATATGTACTTGTGGATCACCAGATGAGCCAAGTCGCTGATTTGACCCGAAGACGGCCCCGATTTCTTGTATGTCTCGCACGGAAAGATGAACGCCCAGTGCGGATCAACCTTGAATCCCATGGGGCTGTGGCGTGACTCGATGGAGGGATCGAAGTTGTAGATGTCGCACAACACCTTGTCGGTGATTTTATATTCCGTGCCCTTAAGTGGAGCCGTGAGGTACTTCCCATTTTCGTGCTTGGCGACTCTGCTGAAGAACTCCAAAGTCAAATACTGGTAAGCATACGCCTTCGTATCCTCGAATTCCTCGAGATCGAGCAACCTGATGTAGCGAAGAATATCGTCACCGATCTTGAGCTCGTCGTTGAAGTACTCCCAGTCGATATAACGTGGAGCTAGAACGGGCCGGGCGTGAAGTCTTTGGTGTGCCGTGACCTCATCCATTGACACGACCTCAAAGGGGATGCGATACTGTTATGCTAAGGACACGGCCGGGGCTGCCTGGTCGGGGTTGGCGCTCGTGGAGGCCGCCGCTTTTCCCTTGGAAATTGCGGGGGCCTTTTTCTTCGAATTAGCTCCGCCTTTAACCATGATTTTCGGTTTGGGTATTTCTTCGAACACGTGGAGTGCAGGGCTAGGGCTTGCAAGCTCGTGAACAATTTGAAGGTGCTTGATCTCGGAGTTGGCCTCCTCGCGCCTCAACAGTTTTGAGAAGCTGACAGTACCTTTGGAAGAAATTCTTTCGTAGACGAGCAAGTCTTCACGAATGACGAGCTAGTGTCAATGAGAGCTCGTGTTTGAAAGTCGCCGCCGTTTGTGAGTCGCCGGTGCAGGTAGGACGATCGGATGGCTGGAATTGCAGGTGATTCAGGGGTTAGGGTTCGGTGGTTGAGTAGTCTGCGCTTGCAATGCAGGAGATGGAGGTTGAGGTGCGTGGTCGGTGGTCGGACGGCGTCACCGGAGGTTCTCGTCGGTGGTCGGACGAGAAAACTGTCGGATTTTGTGCAGGGTAGGCATCGGGTGTGATTGAGAGAGAAGCTGAGATGTTTGAGAGTGAAATGAAGATGACCCGTTTTCCCTTCTCTTTTTTTTATAACAAGTCCCAGACCTTAGCTGGGCCAAGGTTCCGTAGCACCGCTAGCACGCCTAAGCCGTTCGACGCAGTAACCGCCTTAGCGGCGATAAGGAGTCTTAGCGCCGCTAGCACCTGATTTTTTTTTTTTATAAAATATATATATATATATATATGTATTCAAAAAGTACAAAGATGCTCGGTTTTAAGCCGGGAGCTCGGCACACTTCTGAATCAAGGATACAGTGTTTCACCGAGACTGATGGTCTCGACATGTTGCTTCCCGAATTCTCCTTCAAAGTACGGTTTCACTCGCTATCCATTGACCACGAACAAGTCACCATTCGCTGGGTTTCGGAGTCGAACAGCTCCGAGAGTCAACACCTCATCAATAAGGTATGGACCGCTCCGTCTTGATTTGAGCTTAATGGGAAAGAGATGAAGTCAGGAGTTGAATAAGAGGTCTTTCATACCGGGAATAAGGTTCTTTCGGACAATGGTCGAGTCGTGAAGCTTTTTGACCTTGTCCTTGTAAATTTTGGAGTTCTCGTAAGCCTCGTTCCTCAACTCCTCAAGTTCTGGCAGTTGCCACATCCGTTCACGTCCAGCTGCATCAAGATCAAGATTCATCCGCTTTATTGCCCAAAAAGCCTTGTGCTCAATCTCGACCGGAAGGTGGCATGCCTTTCTGTAGACGAGCCGGAATGGACTCATCCCCAAGACTCCCTTGTAAGCTGTGCGTTGGGCCCATAGTGCATCATCAAGACGACTGGACCAATCCTTCCTGGACGAGTTCACCGTCTTCTCAATAATAGTCTTGATCTACTTGTTGCTCATTTCTGCCTGGCCCGAAGTCTGTGGATGGTATGGGGTGGCGCCCTTGTGTGAAATGCCGTATTTCTTCATTAGCTTCTCAAATATCCGGTTGCAAAAATGTTTGCCCCCGTCACTCACAATAGCTCGTGGAAATCCAAACCTGCTTAACACATGACCCTGCAAAAACTTGATAACCACTTTAGCATCACACGTCCTTGTGGGGATAGCCTCAACCCACTTGGACACATAATCTACGGCAAGAAGAATGTACTCAAAGCCAAAAGATTTGGGAAACGGACCCATAAAATCAATGCCCCATACATCAAAGATTACAACTTGAAGATTGTTAACTAAAGGCATTTCATTCCTTGGGCCAATATTCCAAATTCTTTGACAACGGTCACAAGATTTGCAAAATATATAAGCATCTTTAAAAAGAGTCGGCCAAAATAAACCTGATTGGAGGACCTTAAGGGCGGTCTTTCGACCTCCGAAATGTCCCCCACACTGAAGTTCATGGCAAAAAGCAAGGACATCCGGTTGCTCCTCTTCGGGCACACACCTCCGAAGGATCTCATCCTTCCCCATTTTGAAAAGGAATGGGTCGTCCCAAAAGTAACTCCTACACATCAACACAAAACGCTTCCTCTCTTGGGAAGAGAGGTTAGACAACAAGACTCCATCCGACAAATAATTGACAATATCTGCATACCAAGGGACACTGACAACTTCGCTCACATGCTCGTATGAAAAACTATCAGCTATATCAACATGATCATGCAAAGTGAGTGAATTATCAGTAGGGACAATGCGAGAGAGATTATCAGCAACCACATTTTCACAACCTTTCCTATCACGAATTTCTACATCAAACTCTTGCAACAATAAAATCCAACAAATGAGTCTAGGTTTCGATTGAGTCTTACTCAAGCGATACCTAAGAGCCGCATGATCAGAATGAACAATCACTTTAGATCCCAAAATGTAAGACCTAAACTTTTCAAGAGAAAATATCACGACTAAAAGCTCTTTTTCGGTAGTGGTATAGTTCAGTTGGGCACCGTTTAAGGTCAAACTAGCATAATAAATTACATGAAGTAACTTATCAACTCGTTGACCCAAGACGGCTCCAACAGCAAGGTTCGAAGCATCACACATAATCTCAAAAGGCAACGACCAATCAGGAGCAATAACAATAGGTGCAGTGACAAGCTTATTTTTCAACTTATCAAAGGCATCTACACATGCATCATCAAACACGAAAGGCACATCATTGGTAAGCAAGTTACACAAAGGCTGGCTAATTTTCGAAAAATCCTTTATAAACCACCTATAAAAAGCTTATAACCCCTTTCACATTCACAGGAGGGAGTAATTTTTCAATCACGTCAATTTTCGCTTTATCAACCTCAATACCACGATTCGATACCACATGACCTAACACGACTCCACTAGTCACCATAAAATGACTCTTCTCCCAACTCAAGGTCAAATTAGACTCAATACACCTTTCAAGCATAGGCCGAATGGCATTCGTCTGAAAGCAAAGGTGTCGAATGGGCATGTGAAGGTGGTCTTTGGCTGGTCCTCGGGTGCTATGGCTACTTAGTAGTAGCCGGAAAGTCCGTCTAAGAAGCAGTAAAACTGATGGCCCGAGAGACGGTCAAGGATCTGATCGATGAAGGGCAACGGGAAGTGATCCTTCTATGTCACGGCGTTGAGGCGCCGGTAGTCTATACACATTCTCCACCCGGTAGTGATGCAGGTGGGGACCATCTCCTTCTTCTCATTCTCTATGACCGTGATGCCTCCCTTCTTGGGCACCACATGGATCGGGCTGACCCACTCGCTGTCTGCCACCGGATAAAAGAGTCCCTCGGAATAGAGCTTCAACACTTCTTTCTTCACCACCTCCATCAGGTTTGGGTTGAGTCGCCGTTGGTTGTTCCGAAATGGCTTGACACCTTCTTCTAAGATGATCCGGTGCATGCATGTGAAAGGGCTGATGCCCTTTATGTCTCCGAGGCTCCACCCAATAGCCTTCTGATTCTTCTTGAGCACCTCAATCAGCTCCTTCTCCTCATCACGGGAAAGCTCGGCAAAGATTATTACCGGCTTTTGCTTCTTGTCATCAAGGAACACATACTTGAGGTGTCGGGGCAGCTCCTTCAATTCTAATGTGGTTGGAGTCGGTGTGTGGGGCTCATCGGCTGCAAAGAGCTCAATGGTTGGCTCTTCTTCATCGTCTAGATCAGCCATTGTCCTCTCTTCGTAGTCACGTATAGTCGCCTCCTCCACAAACGGGTCACTAACATCAACAAAAGCACACTCCTCCACAAAGTTCACTGAAGAGGTGGATATGGCTTCTCGGACGGAGATAGATACAGATTCGCCAAGACTGTCATGTTCAAGGTCCCATTTTTCACATCGATGAGGGCGTTGGTGGTGGCCATAAATGGTCTACCGAGAAGGATGGTATGATCCTTCCCGTTCTCTTGTACGTCCCCCACATCTAAGACGACGAAGTCCACCGGGACAATAAGTCTTCCTACACGAACTAGGACATCTTCCACCACCCCCTTAGGATATTGGATTGATCGATCTGTAAGTTGGAGGCACATACGGGTCGGTCTGAGGTCTCCTAGGCCGAGCCGCTGGAAGATGGAGAACGGCATAAGGTTGATTCCGGCTCTAAGGTCTAGCATCCCCGAAGCTTCCTTTCCGTTTCCGAGAGCTATCTGAATCACGAAACCCCCGGGATCCCATTCTTTCTTCGGAAGATCATGTTGTATAGCACTTGCGGCCTCATAGACCACTACCTTCTCCCCGTCTCCGAATTTCCTCTTCTTCGTCACTAAGTCCTTGAAGAACTTCACGTACGAGGGCATATTCTTGATCACGTCTAGGAGTGGCAGGTTGACGTTGACCTTCGAGAGCGTGTTGTATAGGTCCCGGAATTGCTGTTCCTGCTTCTCATCTCGTAGTTGGCTCGGGAAGGGTATGCTTGGTTTGAAAGGGTTTGGTGACTTGTGTAACATTGGGCCGTCTGTCTGCTTCCTTGGCTCAGCTTTTGTATTCTTCTTCGGGCTCTCCTCTACTCCCTTGAGTTGGTTGGTCGGTCGGCTTAGGGTCATCAAGTTTGGGCATTTCCACGTGATTGTCTACATCCTTCCCGCTTCTCAACACCGTTATGGCTTTGGCTTCTTTAGGCTGGCTAGGTAGCTTCCCCTTGTCTGAGTCGGCCTCCATGTTCCCCACTCTCGTAGCAAGCTGGCCCAACTGTGTCTCCAGGCGTTTGATGGATGCATCGGTGTTCAAGCCCCTTTGCTCACTGTTGGCCATAAACTGGAGAATCTTGTCCAGCTTGTCGTCTTGATTCGATGAACTGGAGCCGGCTCCTTGTGCTTGCATCCCACCCATCTGGCCCCTTTGTTGTTGTTGTTGCTGCTGTTGAGGGTAGTTCGCTCTCATCTGCTGTTGGGAATTGAAGGTGGGTCGGGGTTGTTGCTGCATGAAGTTCTGTCGAGGAG